CAAACGGGCAGTCAAGCACCCTGCTTTTGCTCCTGGGCAATCAGTAAATGTTTTCAAACCCAAACATTAGAGGGAAAATGTGCAACAAATATGCTCCACCGCAACACATAGACGAACAAGTAGGACCAGCCACATATAGATCGATGATGGAACCATATGGAATGCAGCCAAGATGACACATACAACATTGAAACCACCCCAACGTCAGCCTCTGTGGCTTGTGGACGATGAAATATTCCCCACTTCGACTAATGCGGCTCCAGCTATAAGCCTGGGCCACGTGCCACCTGAGGGTCTGACACCTGCAACTCTGCGTGCCGCAGCCCCCAGCGTCACTCCTGTACGTGCGGCCCCTGCTGCCGTTCCTGTTTTCGCGGCCCCTGCTGCCATTCCAGTCCATGCGGCCCCTGCTGCCGGCCCTGCTTTTGCAGCCCCTGATGCCGTGCCTGTCCCGATAGCCCAAGATGTCGTTTGTCCCACTGCGGCCCCTGTTGCTGCCCATGCAACTGCAGCCCCTGTTGCCGCCCATGCAACTGCGGCACACGGCCCTGGCCATATTGCTGTGCCACCTGGTGTCCATAATCCTGCGGCCCCTGGTGCCACCCATGTTCCTACGGTGCCAGGCGTTGTCCCTCATCTTACGGCTCCTGCAGCCCATGTAGCTGTGGTGCCTGGTGCTGCCCACGTACCGACGGTACCCGGTGCCCTTCCCGTTCCTGTCGTATCCACCGCCAGTCCTGTGGTACTCGGTGCCGTTCCTGCGGTATTCTGCACCGTGCAAGACGCGGTGGTTTTCAGAGGCCTTCCCGCCACCCCAGTCCCCGGTGCCGTTCCTGTTTCCGGTCTCCAAGCGGCCTTCCGCACCGCTGTTCCAGTCAACCAAGCCAGCAGCCAGCCACCAGTCCCGCCAGCTGCCCCGACTGCAGTCTTCCAAGAGGCCCCCAGGGTCGCTGTCCAGGAGGGTCCTGAACCTTCCATTCCTTTAAGCGGTGCAATAGACCCCTTGCGTATAAGGGCGCCCCTAGTGCCGCGCACAGGAACTACGACCAGCCGCCATGTTTAGGTCGTCGGAGCAGACGACGCACGCCGCAGGATTGTCGCCGGCCGGCATCTCTCGCCGCGCGCCGACTTTCGCACACTGAGCCTTGCGCCGAGCTTGGTGTCAGCGGCTGTGTTACACTACGGTAGACGATGGTTGAAACGTGCTGTGTGCCACTGTGCCGCCAGCGTGGCTACCGCGACGAGAACAGCAAAAAGGTAAGCCGTAGAAGTTTCTAAACAAACCCACGTGCGCAGGCGCGCACGCGATTTTTCACCCGCGTTTTACGCACCTGAACAGCCCGTGCGAGCTAGTTCGCTGCACCGTTGCCGGTGGCGCGGTACGCTTAAAGTCAATAATCGTTTTCAGTAATCGATCACGAACGAACAATGTGCTGTAGCGAAGGCTAGAAGCGTGAGCTCGTGCTGCCGAGGTGCGCCGTAGAACAAGAAGCTCGTGCTCTTAGATGCGGCACGTCGTAAGGTGAAACGAAAGTATACAAAAAGCTTCGCACTGACAGATCACTTCGTGCGAGGAGCATGTGCAGTGCCTGTGAACGAGAGCGTTTCCCGAAGGCGTAGCGTATGATGCGGAGTCACTGCTGACGCTAGGACGCACATTCTAGAAGCCTCTGCGATTGAAAACCTTGAAGCGGAGAACGTGAACATATTTGCCGACCTGTTTTCCTCGTGGCTCGACGTGCAAATCCTTGCGGACGAGATGGTCCAACGGCTCACGCCAGCCAAGTTCAACAGGTTTTTGGTTGAAACAAGTGAAGAAAAAAATTTCGGAAAATGATTTATACTGAACTCGTAGCACATTATTATGCTTTAGGAAGTGTAGTACAACTTAGCCAGTTGCTTCCCTCGTATTCGTAAACATGGTTTAGCAACATTTACAGCATATGTGAACTACGGGTGGCTTGAGAGTGATTGTTGGACATTTCTAATTATAGTTTTTTCTCGAACTAGGTCACATTCCACAAGTTTCCTTCTGGGAACAAACTACGGCGGAAGTGGATCCATGCTATCAGAAGAGACCCTGGTGCACACTTCAGCATTCAGCAAACAACCAAGGTGTGCTCAAGGCACTTCACGCCGGACAGCTTCGTCCCCAATGTGGCAAGCGGACGACAGTATTTGAAGGAAAATGCGGTGCCTTCTCTTTTTGAATTCACCAAGAAAGTCGTACCTCGACCGGTTCCCAACCGACAACCCCTGCAGACCAAATTCCTCGAACCAAACAGTACAGATGTGTTTTGCAGCGATGAAATGGCATCTCCCCCAGACCTAAATGATGTAGGAACATCAACAAGCCAAGTTCCAGGCTGGGCGGTGAACACAGATGCACCTGCAAGCATCAGTTTGACACAAGGCAAATGCAACTGTGCCTGCACAGAAGAATTGACCCAGATGAAGCTGCAGCTGAAAGAAAAGGATGCAGAGCTTGTCCAGCTAAAGGATCAATGTAACATTCTTCTGAACTGCAGCAACATCCTGAGCACAACAAAAAGAGACCTTGCACGAGCAAAGGAACAAGTAGTGTGTCTAATGCGGAGGAACGAGGAGCTGAAGAATGAACACACAGCTAAAATGCAAGAGCTCGAAACAAAATTGTCCGAGGCAGACAAACGGAAGAAGACATTTTCGGCAGAAAGATTTAAAGACGACGACAGCAGCATCCAGTTCTACACTGGCCTGCAAAGCTACGGTCATTTTAAAGGATTACTGCAGTATGTAGCCTCAGAAAGTGACACTGCTGATCCGGACCATCCAAATAGGGAAGCAAGAGGTCGTCGGCACAAGCTATCTCAAGAGGACCAGCTTTTCATGACGCTTGTCAAGCTGCGACTTGGTCATTTCCACATGCACCTGGCACACATCTTCAACGTCTCTACCAGCACTGTGTCGAGGGCTTTTGGAACATGGGTTAACCTGCTCTATGTCCGGCTGTCGGAGCTGGCATGGTGGCCACCACGTGATATTGTAGACTCAACCATGCCTGAGGAGTTTAAGGCACGGTATCCAACAACACGGGTGATTATTGATGCCACTGAAGATCGGTGCGAAGTCTCCAGTTCTCTGGTTCTGCAGTCGGGAACATACTCTCCATATAAATCGACAAACACTCTCAAGGGACTAATTGGAATTTCACCGAACGGACTTGTGAGCTTTGTTTCAGAGCTCTTCACTGGGTCAGCTTCAGACAGAGAACTTGTGATCAGAAGTGGGTTTCTGGAACAAGAGTTTGCACCAGGTGACACAGTCATGGCTGACAAGGGATTTAAAATCAAAGATCTTTTGGACAAGAAAGGTATTGGATTGAACTTGCCACCGTTTCTGACGAAGCAACAGTTCAGTGTTGCAGAGGTGCGAGAAACGGCTGACATTGCTTCTTTGCGGATTCACGTAGAGAGGAGAATCCAGCGCATTAAGACTTATCATATATTTGACAGAGTTGTTCCCCTCTCTCTTGGTCCCATAGTTAACCAGATGTGGACTATTTGCGCTTTTCTGAGCAACCTTCAACCTTCTATTTTAAAAGAAGTGGATTGAGCCAATGTATACATGTTTGTTTGTTTATTTGTACAAATCAATATTGAGTATTGAAACAGAAGCTTAAGGCTAAGCAGCCTTAAGTCCGTTCTACTTACAAAAATCAAAAGAAAAAATATTTACATGTACAAACTTTACAGGGGCACTGAAGTCATTTTTGAGATAGTCTTTTTATGGTGATAACTCAATCTACACACTTTAAAGGGGCCCTGAATCATATTTAAGCGTCTACCTTTTTTGCGGTTTCCACGTCTCTTGGGGTTCGGGCAAGACAGCGGGCACGGAGAGAGTAACTAAATAGCAGTGCGTAATATTTTAACCGGACGACGCGGAAACCTCCTCCACCGACGAGGGCGACCCGCGGTACCGAAAGTGTGCAAAATGTGACGTCTTTGGTCCTGGGCTTATTACTGGTCAGAGCCGCTAAAAGCTTCTTTTTAGTCGAAATACAAAATATAAGTGGTGCGAACCGTTTCAATATTTTTATAAAAGTAGTTTTTGTTCAGTATTTTAGATCAGAAAAGAAATGAATGCAGTTCATAAAGTATGGAAACAAGAAATAACCTGTTCACATACCCACCACCAAGCGGTGGAAAAGGCGGCGCATACTAGAAAGGAGTAGTGGGATCAGGCGTCGACACGGAAAGGTCCCGGATGAATGCGGTGGCACTGCGGTCGTATGGACAGGAGGATCCGACCGGCTGTGAGCGTTCCGAAGGCCTTCGGCGAGAAGCTTTGTCTTAAGGTTTGGCCGTTTCGCGGTATGGTAGCGCAAAGTGGCTCCCATTCTGAACTGATCTTTACCCCATGTTTCCTGTCGTTTGTTGCCAATAAAGTGTCATGCCGAATTAGTATTTAATCGCGCAGCGAATGCAATGAGAGCCACTCCAGCTGCCCGCTGCACACAGCCTATCCAGAACATGCTTTAGTGGCGCCCTCTCGCGCCGTCCACAAGGAGTGCGGCAGCCGTGAGCGCTCGATAAGCTCACTACCCCTCCTTTAGTTCACGACCACTCTCAAGCAACCAAGGACGTCATGAGGGAGGTTATTTTTTGCTTGTTTTTGTAATTTTAATTTGCCTATATAACTTTTAAAATAAAGGGAATTTCGAGAAAAGAAAAGTTGCACTAAGTTACTACGTTCAGTGTGCTCAGGTTCGGTGGAAATTAAAAACCACTAAAGAAGTCCTTGCAGGGCCCCTTTAAGGATTCTAAGACCCCAAAATTACAATCCTGCTTGGCCTATTTCCCACTTAAACGTTCTCAAAGATCACCGACATGCTTTTTCTCATGGGATATTTGTTCAGAGTGAAGTGGTTGACGAACGCGATTGTCGGCCAATTGCAAGCGATGGCTTCCCCTGCGGCCAGAAAATAGTTATCAGAATGTGTGCGTATGACTCTTTTCAAAACGAGTTATAATAAAATTGCTTAGGATCTATGCTTATTGTACGACTTTCCTTGGGCCAGAGAATGTGGACCGCAGTTTTGTATACTAGAACTTGATATATAAAGTAGCTAACACCTTGTAAACTATATAACAAAAAAAAATTACCTTCTTTAAAAATGACTTCAGTGCACCTTTAAGGGGGCCCGGTAAATTTTACCAGCTTCTCTTTACGACTTTGCTGCAAAGTATGGCAGAAGAGTAGTGAAATAAAAGTTGTCTAAGCTCTCTTTTATGTCCTCCCAAATATTCTTGTCAAACCTGATCCTCTGAATGGTTAGGAAGTTGATCCCATAAAGAACATAGTCTGCCCACTTGAGGTTTGTTACCCCCATCTGTCCTACCACTTGAGCAAAGTGGGGGTGCTCTGTCTTGAGATGCGGACGGTTAGAGCTGTCAAAAGCAACACTAATGTTACTTGCGAGCAGTGTGTCGCGATCTGCATTCCTCAAGGTGTAGAGGCACTTTACTTCTACACATCCCCATGGTGGTTGTTCCGTCGCGTCATACACAATTGCATCTGGAGTTGCTCCGAGCCATGGTTGATCAGGATCCACGAACAGCCCCGCACTCGACAGATGGACGTCTCGGCCCCTGCTCTTTAAAACGTCCTCGTAGCGTTGCAGTGCTTTAGGCTCGTTGACAATCCCATACCTAAAAAAAGTAGATACACAATACAAAAAATTCAAATTAAGTAATATACAATGTTTATTTCATTCTTCAAACTAGATCAGCACGTAGTTAGAAGTTACCACTACAGAACCATTGGTTTTTCATCGTAAGGCATAAAATACTGTTAAATGAAAGACCTACGACAGCATGCTGTGGGCCTCTCTCTATCAGTATGAAAATAAGACTATTTCATGTCGGACAATTATGTGAGAGGAGCGGGTGGTTCAGGCTGTCGAGTGTCGCGATTGTGGCAGTTATTGGTAAAAAAAAATATGGTGAAGAAGGATAGCGGGTACAAAGGTATCTGTAGCAGCATGCCAACTTGTGGCAACAGAGGTTTCCCTCGACTGGCAGGCAGCAGAGCCTGCCAGGATACACCTGTTATAACCTGTTATAACATGACACTGCTGGTGTACTACCACCAGTGTTGCAATAGGGGAAAAGTACATTCAATTCTGACGTCACCAGGCAGAAATCGAGGGACCAGAATTAAAGACGTGGTTTCACAGAAAGCCGCTCAACGAGTTTCTTTTTTTATCAGCGTTTCTTTTACAAGCAGCGTCAAGGGTGCCAATGCACGAGACATATATCTTGAACAGCCCTTGGAAAGAAGTAACGGCAATGCACTGCCAGAGCTATCAAAACGCCATGTTATTTCATTAAGGCATGCACCTCGCACATTTACAAAACAATGAATGACTGTACTTTTAAAACTGATAGAAAGCATGGATTTTATTGAGGGGCTTTAGGTACTCATACCGGTCGAAGATATGTTCCAGGCACCATTTCTCTGCCTCTCCCAGTAGGCTTTGTACAATCTACTAGCAGCTGAATTCGTCCCCCCAGAAAGCTCTCCCATAGCATTAGCAACAGTTTCTGGACCAAAGACACCTAGGGGAGGTCATGCAACATGCAAAACATTGTTTCTGTGAATTTGCTTAACTGATTTTGAAATGCTAAGCTCACCGGATGGCAGGAACCCTGGACAAATCCTTTGTTGAGGTCAGGTTTGCCAGTCCCTTCTCTGTCCACTCGCCGTGACGATGTACGGTGCCAAAGTTCGATGCAGTCAGGCGGTACTGCCTTGCCTGAAGCCAGGTAGCACTGTCGCGCTGCCTCCGCGAGTTCTTCTCAAGGTCCTGTGCTTCAAGTGGCGTCAGTGTTATTTTCTGAAACAAGCAGAATTACATTAACAAGTTTAGACAAGAACACAGTGATGTGAACACAAATCTTCTCTGAAACTCCTGGCTTCCTGTCTTTGTTAAAACATTTTTTTCCAAATTATTATAGACCAGAGGTGTGCAAAGCGGGGATTGCAGAGTAATGTCTTAGGGTCGCACGGCCCCAAAAAGGTTCTGGAAAATGTATGTGCACGAAACAAGCACAGAAATAACCATCCCTGAAGTAAAACCGAAGGTAAACGTAACGGGACCAGAGTGTGGCCCTTATTGTACTTCATCCCACTAGTTGCTTGCAGTGTAGATGAAGGCAGTGCGGGCCAAGGGGAGAAAGGGCAACCACTACGAAGGGAAGAGAAGATAAACCTCTTCTCCTCTCCAATGTTCTTAGTGCTCGCCCTTTCTCCCCTACTTGTGAGACAGAGTATGAGTATGTCAGGGGGCAGGGGCTTCCCAGCGGCATTGCGATGCTTGAGGTGTCGCAGTCTGAATATGTCTTGGCATCTGTTGTGAGCTACCACCCACACTAAAAAATGTTATTTACATTATCTTAAACTATAGAGACCTTAAAATGCAATAGTCTATAAGCTTCCATTGCAAGGCAAAAGACCCCATTATCTTTTACAGGAGAAAAAGCATCTGCCTCAAGCACTGTCGTAATAGCTTAAATAATATTTGATTCTAGAGTGATAGTCTAACAGACGGTCTGCGGTTTCTCTGTCCTCCCAATGCACACATAGCAGGTGCACTCGAAAACACTGCGCAGTCTGGAAGAAAAAGTTCACTGCACCCTGTGTTCGGCGTTTGCAAGTGCACCTGCTATGTCGGCGATGGGAGGACGGAAAAACCACGGACTTGTTATAGCTAAGTGTGATTAAGAGTGTACAGTGCTCTTGGTTTATAAACATTGTGCACTGAAATGGAGTATGGTTGGTCGTTTGAGACACCACGCAGCGGTAGTAAAGTTTATAAGTTGAAATTACGCTCCCAGTATGTTAGGAAAAAGTGAAAACAAAGCTAACCTCTAACAGAAGCCTTGCCTTCGTGCTGACACCATCCGGAACAGTCCACTCGTCGCTTTCAAGAAAAGGCACCATTTCTTCTAGTGGCCGCCCGATGTTCAGATGGCCAGGTGCCTCCAGCTCCTCGCACAACAAGATGCAAAATCCAAATGGGACAAGTGGCTGCTGGTAGGCGAGTGGAGAGCAAGCAAGCACATCGCCGCACTTGGAGCTGCACACTTGTGCTCGATCTGCAGCTCCCAACACTGCTACCAAGGAGGTCATCCCGTCTAGCTGCTGCAAACTGCTTGCGAATTGGAGCGCGGCGCTTTTCTTTTGACTGATAGTACGCTCCTTAGCCTTGCTGAGGTCCAGCCGACATGAGCGCGGCAAGTCTTGTCGTCCTTTGCCCACCCTCCGCCAGTCAACACCCTGCACACTTGAACCCTTGATGACCTGGCCCCTCGGTCTTCTCCAACGCTGTGGCAGATCTGTGCATGACAGATGTGCTGGGGCCTCGGTGAATCCCTTGCCTTGGATCAAAATAACCGTCTTCAGGACGGCCTGGAGGTGGCTGCAGGCTTGCTTCCCAGCTGGGCACTCGCAATATCCGTTAACAAGTTCACCGTCCTTGGTGATGGTGGCGCTCACGGTGTAGGGTGGCTGAGTTTTCTTGTGGCTCCTGAAGCATCTGGCTCTCAAGAAGAATCTGGAGGCCCTTTAAATGACAATGATAAGCGATAAGCACCTGTTCCCAATCATTACGGTCCTGACCATTTCATGCGAGGCACACCGCGCCATCTCATGCAGGGCACGGCAAAATGTGAAATATATTATCAGTGCTAGGTATTTCTGAGAGAACGTGCCAGTTTGAGAGCTGCAGCCTGCTACATGGCTGCGCGTGCGAATCGCTACACAGCTCCCGATTTGGGCGAGCCTGTTCTGCGGCGCAAGCCAAGTGACGGTCTGGCGTCGCTCGAATCGAGGCGCTTAGCTTCGTTTTCACAGGGACACACAGCTCAGCTTGCACCGCCCGACTAGCGCTGGCTTGCAAACAAGTCGTAAAACGGGGCGCGCACGTGAGCGATATGGCGAGCGACGGGTTATGCCATCGCTCGTCGCGTTGCTCGTTTCTGGATTGCCCGAAAAACCTCTCCCACCGCCCGGAAGTCGCTTGCATGCAGTTTGCCTCGGCGAGGGACAGACCGGGCGAAAGTTAGTCCTCGAAGAGTCGCCAGTGCAAGACAATCGTCACATGTGTTCACCCGACAACGCTATAATGTTGATCTCAAGGTTCGCGCTTCCCCCCAAAAAACACTTATAACCACTCACATTTCTTCGTCGTAGTTGGCGCATACCGTCGACGCAACGACGTAGCTCTCCGTAACTAACTTGTAGCTCCGGCGAGCTCCCTTCTCGGTTCCCGAGCAGGACGCCAGGCGGGCAAGGTCCGGAGACGAGATTCGCGGCAGCCGAGCCAAGTTGCTCGTCCATCCCGTCGTGGGGTAGACGCCGTCGCTCATGACGGGGCCAACGGGGCACGCTGGGGGCACGCACGTATGCCGCAAAAGCACGGAATGCTCACGTTGGCGGTTACCTCACGGTACGGAAAGAGGCGCCGAGAACGCTGACCTAAACATGGCGATTTCTGTCCCATGATGCAGTGCAAATCGAAACTGATGAAAAGTTCGCCGTCAGGGTGCGCAATTGTGCATGGGGTCTATATTGAGCACCGTATCAAGTTCATCCCAACTGGGACTCGTGTATTGCAGCGAGCTTCCGTCATGTAGCACTGCAACGGTCTCGGCAGAGTCCCTTAACTCCGTGGGGCCAGAGGTTGCCCACTCTCCAAGCCTTCAGTGGCTCATGATTCAGCAGAGGAACCGAAATCAAGTCCCCAGGCAACCCAAGAATCGACACCTATATCAGAATACGGTGGTGCACCCACACCACCGACGACATATACTCCACCAATATCCCCCTCGGACACTCCACAACGCCCCACGAGGCTTAGACGACTTTTTGCAAAATTTCGTGACTTTCTAGTAGATATGTATTCCAAGGATGCTCCTTAAAAATAACTTTGGGACTTAAGTCACAGTGGTTTGCAATTTCATAGAGTGTGGTGTATTTTTATGGTATAGATGTGAACAAATAGTTATTTTTGCATTTCTCATGTGTGTTCGAATGTCTAATTTCCATGTTATGGACATGGAAGTTTTGGACAAACTGCCTTAGATATTTGTTTTCATGCGTTGTGTAGTTTACCAAAGAGTGAATTACCATAGTTTCGTTTTCTTACACTCAAACAAATCGTGGCACCCACCTGTCAAAGTTTTCCAACCATTTTTTTCCCAGTCTCCCATGCACTGAGCAGTCTTCAGCTAAACAAAAATCAGTGGAATGGAATAGACGTATGTTCGTTTATCCGTTTACTTACATGACCATGCATAATAAACTGCTTCATTACCATAGTTCTAAGTTATCGGAGTATCAACGTTTCTTCTCAGTTTTGTACTACCCCTGATATTTGCTAAACTTACATGACCATACAGAGTAAACTGCATCATTACCATAGTTCTAAGTTTTCGGAGTATCAACGTTTCTTTTCAGTTTTGTACTACCCCTGGTATTTGCTAGACTTATATGACCATACAGAGTAAACTGCATCATTACCATAGTTCTAAGTTATCGGAGTATCAACGTTGCTTTTCAGTTTTGTACTACCCCTGATATTTGCTAAACTTACATGACCATACATAGTAAACTGCATCATTACCATAGTTCTAAGTTATTGGAGTATCAACGTTTCTTTTCAGTTTTGTACTACCCCTGATATTTGCTAAACTTACATGACCATACATAGTAAACTGCTTCATTACCATAGTTCTAAGTTATTGGAGTATCGACGTTTCTTTTCAGTTTTGTACTACCCCTGATATTTGCTAAACTTACATGAACATACATAGTAAACTGCTTCATTACCATAGTTCGAAGTTATCGAAGTATCAACGTTTCTTTTCAGTTTGTACTACCCCTGATATTTGCTAAACTTACATGACCATACATAGTAAACTGCTTCATTACCATAGTTCTAAGTTATTGGAGTATCAACGTTTCTTTTCAGTTTTGTACTACCCCTGATATTTGCTAAACTTACATGACCATACATAGTAAACTGCTTCATTACCATAGTTCTAAGTTATTGGAGTATCGACGTTTCTTTTCAGTTTTGTACTACCCCTGATATTTGCTAAACTTACATGACCATACATAGTAAACTGCATCATTACCATAGTTCGAAGTTATCGGAGTATCAACGTTTCTTTTCAGTTTTGTACTACCCCTGATATTTGCTAAACTTACATGACCATACATAGTAAACTGCTTCATTACCATAGTTCTAAGTTATCGGAGTATCAACGTTTCTTTTCAGTTTTGTACTACCCCTGATATTTGCTAAACTTACATGACCATACATAGTAAACTGCTTCATTACCATAGTTCTAAGTTATCGGAGTATCAACGTTTCTTTTCAGTTTTGTACTACCCCTGATATTTGCTAAACTTACATGACCATACATAGTAAACTGCATCATTACCATAGTTCGAAGTTATCGGAGTATCAACGTTTCTTTTCAGTTTTGTACTACCCCTGATATTTGCTAAACTTACATGACCATACATAGTAAACTGCTTCATTACCATAGTTCTAAGTTATCGGAGTATCAACGTTTCTTTTCAGTTTTGTACTACCCCTGATATTTGCTAAACTTACATGACCATACATAGTAAACTGCATCATTACCCTAGTTCGAAGTTATCGGAGTATCAACGTTTCTTTTCAGTTTTGTACTACCCCTGATATTTGCTAAACTTACATGACCATACATAGTAAACTGCATCATTACCATAGTTCGAAGTTATCGGAGTATCAACGTTTCTTTTCAGTTTTGTACTACCCCTGATATTTGCTAAACTTACATGACCATACATAGTAAACTGCTTCATTGCCATAGTTCTAAGTTATCGGAGTATCGACGTTTCTTTTCAGTTTTGTACTACCCCTGATATTTGCTAAACTTACATGACCATACATAGTAAACTGCTTCATTACCATAGTTCTAAGTTATCAAAGTATCAACGTTTCTTTTCAGTTTTGTACTACCCCTGATATTTGTTAAACTTACATGACCATACATAGTAAACTGCATCATTACCATAGTTCGAAGTTATCGGAGTATCAACGTTTCTTTTCAGTTTTGTACTACCCCTGATATTTGCTAAACTTACATGACCATACATAGTAAACTGCATCATTACCATAGTTCGAAGTTATCGGAGTATCAACGTTTCTTTTCAGTTTTGTACTACCCCTGATATTTGCTAAACTTACATGACCATACATAGTAAACTGCTTCATTACCATAGTTCTAAGTTATTGGAGTATCAACGTTTCTTTTCAGTTTTGTACTACCCCTGATATTTGCTAAACTTACATGACCATACATAGTAAACTGCTTAATTACCATAGTTCTAAGTTATCGGAGTATCAACGTTTCTTTTCAGTTTTGTACTACCCCTGATATTTGCTAAACTTACATGACCATACATAGTAAACTGCATCATTACCATAGTTCTAAGTTATCGGAGTATCAACGTTTCTTTTCAGTTTTCTACTACCCCTGATATTTGCTAAACTTACATGACCATACATAGTAAACTGCATCATTACCATAGTTCTAAGTTATCGGAGTATCAACGTTTCTTTTCAGTTTTGTACTACCCCTGATATTTGCTAAACTTACATGACCATACATAGTAAACTGCTTCATTACCATAGTTCTAAGTTATTGGAGTATCGACGTTTCTTTTCAGTTTTGTACTACCCCTGATATTTGCTAAACTTACATGAACATGCATAGTAAACTGCTTCATTACCATAGTTCGAAGTTATCGGAGTATCAACGTTTCTTTTCAGTTTTGTACTACCCCTGATATTTGCTAAACTTACATGACCATACATAGTAAACTGCTTCATTACCGTAGTTCTAAGTTATTGGAGTATCAACGTTTCTTTTCAGTTTTGTACTACCCCCGATATTTGCTAAACTTACATGACCATACATAGTAAACTGCTTCATTACCATAGTTCTAAGTTATTGGAGTATCGACGTTTCTTTTCAGTTTTGTACTACCCCTGATATTTGCTAAACTTACATGACCATACATAGTAAACTGCATCATTACCATAGTTCGAAGTTATTGGAGTATCAACGTTTCTTTTCAGTTTTGTACTACCCCTGATATTTGCTAAACTTACATGACCATACATAGTAAACTGCTTCATTACCATAGTTCTAAGTTATCGGAGTATCAACGTTTCTTTTCAGTTTTGTACTACCCCTGATATTTGCTAAACTTACATGACCATACATAGTAAACTGCTTCATTACCATAGTTCTAAGTTATCGGAGTATCAACGTTTCTTTTCAGTTTTGTACTACCCCTGATATTTGCTAAACTTACATGACCATACATAGTAAACTGCATCATTACCATAGTTCAAAGTTATCGGAGTATCAACGTTTCTTCTCAGTTTTGTACTACCCCTGATATTTGCTAAACTTACATGACCATACATAGTAAACTGCATCATTACCATAGTTCGAAGTTATCGGAGTATCAACGTTTCTTTTCAGTTTTGTACTACCCCTGATATTTGCTAAACTTACATGACCATGCATAATAAACTGCTTCATTACCATAGTTCTAAGTTATTGGAGTATCAACGTTTCTTTTCAGTTTTGTACTACCTGATACTTGCTAAACCCACATGACCATGCATAATAAACTGCTTCATTACCATAGTTCTAAGTTATCGGAGTATCAACGTTTCTTTTCAGTTTTGTACTACCCCTGATATTTGCTAAACCCACATGACCATACATAGTAAACTGCTTCATTACCATAATTCTAAGTTATCGGAGTATCAACGTTTCTTTTCAGTTTTGTACTACCCCTGATATTTGCTAAACTTACATGACCATGCATAATAAACTGCTTCATTACCATAGTTCTAAGTTATCGGAGTATCAATGTTTCTTTTCAGTTTTGTACTACCTGATACTTGCCAAACCCACATGACCATGCATAATAAACTGCTTCATTACCATAGTTCTAAGTTATCGGAGTATCAACGTTTCTTTTCAGTTTTGTACTACCCCTGATATTTGCTAAACTTACATGACCATGCATAATAAACTGCTTCATTACCATAATTCTAAGTTATCGGAGTATCAACGTTTCTTTTCAGTTTTGTACTACCTGATACCCAGGTAGCACAAAACATTATAATAACATTATTTTTTTGTTGTGTAAGTTGAAATAACGTTTTGTGTTAGGTGTAAATGTTACGGCAACGTTCAAATAAAACACTCAACGTTTTAGGTATGTTATCAATGTTGGTGTAACATTCAAATTAAACATATAACGATAATGTTGTGTACGACACATTATAACAACATTCAATACATAACTGTAAAGCAATGTTGTGAGCACTAACATTAATGTAACATTTAGTAACATTATGCTCCTAACATTATTCTGAAGTTTACAATGAAACATAGTAACAGTGAATGGAGAACCATGAAATAATGTTGCAAGAAGTAACACTGAAATAACATTTTAACATATATTTCCAATGTCATTTTGAAGCTTACAAGGAAACATAACATTCAATGCAAAATAGTAAATAAATGTTAAATAGTAATACTGAAATAATGTATTGGTTTGATCACATATCTGTTTTTCAAACTTCAAATAATTGTTGCAAATACTTATATTCAAGAAATTGTTTGACAATATTGTTTTTAACATTATTTTGAAGTTCACAATGAAACACAACATGCAGTAACAAGTTATTTATTGGTGTAACATTTTGAAAAGAGTAACATTTTTGCAAATGTTGTAAGAAAATGTAGTACACTATTTTAGTTTCCGATTTTATTGAAATGTAGCGTGAAGGTACAAAAAAATGGCAAGCGAAATGAAAATATATGCTATGATACTTTTTTGCATTTCTTGTCTTTTGCCCTATAAGGATGGAAGCATTTTGATTAAGCTTTTCTGTAGCAGCTGCTAACTCCAAACAATGGAAAATCTTGGATACCTATATGTAGAGCCCTGCATATCCGCGGATTACCTGTGGATATCTGCAGTAAACGGGCGGATGCGGATGAAAATTAAACAAATTTTGGCAGATTGCAGATTGGATGGCAGAGGCTGCGAATATCAGCGGATACGGATTTAAATTTTTGCCCAGCGGCATTCAGTTCGTCGACTGACGTCTCATCTACAAATCGTTTCGTCGAGATGAAACGTTTGATCGAAAGGCTTCTCCTGTTCGTTTCATCGAAAAACCTGAGATGTTTTGTTGCACACAACCTTGCTATTTTTGTAACAAACTTGTTGAGTCTCGCCTGGATTACAGGGGAGAGGGGGGCATGGTTTGGTTAAGCTCGCTAGCTTTTAGCAGCTTGGTGAAGAAATGCGTTGTCGACAAAACATTGCAGCGGCATGTGCCCACAAAACGTACAGCGTCGATGAACCGTTTGTCCATGAAAAGTTGTCCACCGATACATATTTCCACAAAAACGCGTTTCGAAGAAACAATAGGGATCCTAAGAAAGATCTGATTCTCACTGAAGATCGCTTCAGTTAGTGTGTTTCCTCTCGTCAAAAATGCTACCTTTAAAAAAAGTAAAGATTGCAGGGCATCAATTGTCCCAAGAAAGCTAGCACATTGGCAGGGAAAGAGCTGTAACTTTTTCTGGGCAAAGAAAACTTCAAACGTACAAGTCACAAGGAAGTAAAGAAACGTCCCCCTCTTCGCAAAGAGTAGTGTGGTCATGATTAAAAACAAAAAGTGCCTCGACAGCGAGTGCGACCCTGTGGCACCACGGTTTGTAAAGTTTCAGAGTCAACAGCGAACTTGCATAGGCAGACGGTAAACTGCCTCTGTGTTTCTTTTTTGTATGCTTAGAGCCCTAGCCAAAACGCCTGGTAGTTCATGTTCGTCCAATTACGACGCCAGTGCGTCGTAGCCGGACTAATATGAACCTCTATTACTTTTTAATTGTTTAACAGAACTGTAATGTCATATTTAGTATGCCCTTTTTTAACTTTTATCCTTCAAAAGTATGCGTCCGCATAAAATAGGTGTTACAAAGCAAAAAAAAAAAAAAAAACATATATAACCTTTTTGTGCGCTCCTTCTGGGCAGAGTGTCGCGGATTCCTAGGATGATCACATAACTGAGATGATTTTTCCTAATCGCTTTTAATATAAATCCGATGAAACTGATAATGATAAAATGACACTTCCTTTGAATGGCGAGCCAGATTTCTTTGGTACAAAGATAAGCAAACAGCTTAAAAAGTGTCATTTCTATTTTACAATGAATGCCTGGATTGTGAGTCGGATCTGGTTCCACATTTTGCGGATGCGGTTCGGATACGGATACAATAATGTAAAAAGTATGCGGATACAGTTTGGATACAAAGTATGCAGATGCAGATCGGATACGGATACAATAATGTAAAAAGTTTGCGGATACGGTTCGAATACAAAGTCTGCAGATAATTAAACTGTTATCCACGCAGGGCTCTACCTATATGTAAGATCTAAATGAAATGCAGCGTAAAGATACAAAAAAATGGCAAGGAAAATTAAAATATGTGCTATGCTACTTTTTTGAAAGAAAGACAGCCACAAATAGTATGTGCTTGTTTCACTTGTTTTATGTTTCACATTAATAGATTCACTTCCCTTTACCAGGAAGGCCTGAGGGAAGAGGAGGTGATTATATAGACTACGGAGCTTGTGGATAAGTGAAGTGATGATGTGTATCACGAAAGCGCTTTCATCCCTTCTTCATAAACAGTCAGTCTCTCCGCTTGCCAGCTTGATCCTGCTAACGTTTCCCTTGCCCTCTTGAAGTGACCTGCATCACCCTACGATTTACTCCAGAGGTGCCCGAAGGTGGTGGATTAATTACTGAAGTATAGAAACATGTGCCTCTTTAAATAAAAGATTTTTTTTCCTATGAAAATTTTTTTGTCATGCTTTGTTTTTCTAAATGATCAAAAATGAATCTGGGCATTTCTGGTGTTTATTACGACTAAATAAAGAGTGGGATGGGAAGGGAATGAAATTGGCAAACATAATACTTGTTTCATTTGGCCAGAATGAATGTCTGTCCCAAAATAATTAGTTTTTTTTCTTTTCCCTTATTTGAATTAGATAGAAGTATGATATATTTACTGCACTATGTAGGGAATGTACACATGTGTGCTGGTACTGTGGGGAGGCTGGCATCCATGCAACTATGTGTTTGAGGTTCCTTCGCCGTTCACATGTGAACTGAGACAGTACAATCAGGGCAACTCCTGCCCCTCTCGATGAGATCCTGTCTTTCCGGAAGATGCTAAACTTTTGGGTGTCAGCAATTTGTCCTTCGAATATTGTATCATCCAACCAGGTTTCTGAGACCCCAAAGATTGTGTTCGGCGAAGTTTCAAACAAGACAACGAGGTCCGAGTTTGTTCTTGATGGATAGAGCGTTTGTATACCGGATGCCGATGTGTCGCCGCTTCCTCGGTGCGGGAGGAGTACGTCGGTTACTAGCGTCACTCCGTTTTGTGTCCCGGGCGATGGGCCTGGCAGTTTCGTGGGGGGAAGGGGGGGGGGGGGCACGACACCGGTGGATATGGGTGCGGGGTGCGAGTCATCGGAGGGAGGAAGCTGGCATGAGCCACAAAACCAGTGCCCGGCGAGGAGGCCAAGCATCGGTAGGCGAGTAGCGACAGCCCTTCACACTTCCCATGGAGCCACCAATCACACAGGTCACATTTTAGGGCGGCCACGTTGTTGTAAACCGCTTTCTCGCAGCTCGGGGAGGTTGGCGACGGCCTGGGATTTCGATAGATGTTCCCGGCAATCAGCATGAGTCATGCAATCGGCGCAGTCGTCCAGGCAGGTCTAACCGCGATGAAGCGGATGTCCGCACTTTCAGAAGTGAGAGAAGCCGCCGCGCGGAGTTGAGAAGCATTGTGCACCTCATCGGAGTGTTCCCGGAGCTCGACTCTCTGTAGAGAGGCGACCAGCAGAAGTTGCAACCATGTCCGCAAGCACGTCATCCCTGAAGACTATAATTTTGCTGAAAGGTTCCACCACCGTATTACACATATGTGCGAAATCCCGTCAAATATGCTGAGAAACTGTTTGATGCGGTCTCTCTAAAGAGCCAACGAAACGTTGTAAATCTCTTAGTACAAACACAAAACACGGCAGAGACGAAAAGGGTACCTTTGAACTTGAAGCAAGCCCATGGTCAACACACGCACTGCACCGCACAAAAAGACCATCCGTGTGCGCTACTTTTAGAGCGTTAACAAGCAAAGCAAGGCGTAAATGAGTAAGAATCGTTCCGTAGAACCCGTAGAACCAGATCACAACAGCCGCCATCACAACCCTAAATATACAAACACAGTGCTGCTAGACTTCTTTTCTTTGGTTTTGTGAGTTTGTCGGGTGTGTAAATAAGTAAAGTCTGATGAGTAAATTTATTAATACTATACACTACAGATATTTTCTTCTTGATGTGTTCTACTTTTAAGTCACAAAATAAAATATAATATAATTTATTAACTACAAAATGCATACACGGTTGGTTTAGCCTATTTTAGACCAATGGCTTAGGTTGGCAACATACGTTCCCGCCGGTTCAAGTGGTTCAAGTATGGTTTAAGTTTGGTTTAAGCGGTCTAAGTTTAAGTTTGTATCGCGGCTCGCACAATTGTGGCTCGCACGGTTCTGACCTGACAACCGTGGCTCTGAAACATCGTGAAGACAAGTTCTAGTAGTTACGGTTCGAAGTGCCTAACGGTCAGGCTGCGTAATCCCACTGTGGCACCGACGCACCTGCGTACCCTGCGTGAAACGTAAGTAGCGGTACCTCATTTCCTTTAGTGATGCTGCTCACTTGCTTAACCGACGGGATCTCGCATATTACGTTTGTGGGTATTCCTGTCTCGGGTACCCGAAATCGGGACGGCTCCTTTGGAGCCTTTGGATCCTTTGGAGGTCGATATCTGACCTCAACAATTCCGTCTAGGACCGGAATTCGGTGCCGGTCCTAGACGGAATTCAAGGCGGTGCGTTGTAAGTGGCAGAGCTTCGCTTTAGGGTGCCCATTATTACCTAAACCTCGCACATGCTCGTGAATGTGCGAGGCTGGTTAGGTAATAATAGACAAGAGTAATTATTTGAGGGCTCTACAGTGATTATTATTTTGAAGAGCGAAGCGCTGCCACTATGACCCGGACGAAATCCGGACAAAATTTTCTAGCGCAACCAATGACTATGATAAGTGGGCAACCATGTTCGCCGATTGCGCGCGATTTCGGTTACGCCAGACTGCGCGACTCGCGATGCATGATATCCCTTTGTGATTGAACGGTGCTAAGAGGAAACGATCTCCTGGTTCGTAAAATGAAGCGACAGAGGCGAGCATTTGATGACGTGTGCGACCGACAGAAGAAAAGAATTATTGCCGAAAACGTGCGCGACCATCTTGCGGACATTTTTTCTAAGTCTGCTCCGGACGAGAGCGATGGAAATTCTGCGGTTGACGGATCAGACGACAGCAGTGACGGAGCCAGGGAGGGTCTGAGCGCACCGCAAGTCGACGATCCCAGAGATCCTTGCGCGAGCACATCAGCTTCCGAAGAAACTGAAACTCATTTGCCAATCTCAAGTGCAGATGAGTTTACTTTGGCAAGCGAGCTGGCCACCTGGGCACGTGAGACCAAAGCCTGCGCATCCCATCTTAGCAAGCTTTTAAAGATATTGAAGAAGTATCACCCGGAGCTGCCTAGTGACGCAAGAAGCCTAATGGGGACACCAAGATCTTGCAATGTGAAAAACATGGGAGCGTCCGGCCTCTACCACTATTTCGGAATCGAATCGTCACTAAAACGAATGATGAGCTCAGGCAGCATCACTGGAGACACCATTTCGTTGCTCATCAATGTTGATGGCCTGCCTATAGCGAAAAGTTCCAGCAAGCAGTTCTGGCCCATTCTTGCATCTGTCGTCGAAAGCTGCGATCCTGAACCTTTCGTCATAGCTCTGTTTGTTGGAGACAAGAAGCCGGAGAACTTGGATGACTACCTTACCGATTTCATTTCGGAGTTAAGCACATTGCTGGAAGAACACGTGACCGAGGGCGGAAAGGAGTGCGTAGTTCGAGTGCATGCGTTCATTTGCGATGCGCCCGCAAGGGCATTTCTGAAGTGCATCAAGGGCCATGGGGGATACTTCAGTTGTGAAAAGTGCACCCAAGAAGGCACCTTCTCTGAAAGCTGCCGGAAAGTAATTCTTCCAGAAGTCAGCAGCCCCCTACGAACAGACGAGTCGTTTCGAAAGCAGGATCAGGAAGGGCACCATCATCGACAGTCCCCATTGGTCGAGCTACAGATTGGCATGGTAAGCCAATTTCCCCTCGACTATATGCATTTAGTCTGCCTAGGCGTTATGCGGAGGCTTCTACTTCACTATTGGGTGCGGGGACGACCTCATCGATCAAAGCTCCCACCACGTGCACAGACTAGCATCTCAACAATGCTCATGAAACTCCAGAGACACACCCCTCGGGAGATGGCTCGGAAGCCCCGGAGTCTTCATGAATTAGAGAGATGGAAGGCCACTGAGCTACGAAACTTCCTCTTGTACTTCGGTCCTGCGGTTCTAAAAGACCACATGGAGAAGCGCTACTACCAGCACTTTCTCAAACTGAGCATTGCAGTGTCAATCCTGTCAAGCCCACGACTCTGCCATGAGGAGATTGATTCTGCAGAGAAGCTGCTTGAAGAGTTTGTTTCTGATGCTGGGGACCTGTACGGTGAAGGCATTTACGTGTACAACATACATTCTCTGCTGCATCTTACTGCTGATGTGCGGAGGTTCGGTCACCTTGACTCCTTCTCTGCGTTCCGGTTTGAGAACTTTCTGGGTCAACTGAAGCGAGATTTGAAGTCACCAAATCGACCATTACAACAGATTGTAAAACGCTTAGAAGAGCGCAGTCATGCTGACTTGCATCCTAGAATACCACCGAAGCAGCAGGCATTGTTGCAAAAGCCGCATAATGCCGGACCAGCACCTCCAGGATTTAAGGGAGAGCAGTATCACAAGCTAGTTCTTCAAGGCATGGTTCTGGAAGTGAACCTACCAGACTCATGTTTTCTGATGGAAGATGGAAATGTAGTCGTCGCAACAAATGTTGTGTCCCGTGATGGAGAGATCAAGATCTGTGGCCAGTTTTTCAAGAGATTAACAAACTTCTATGCCGGCATTGTTGACACAACTGGACTGTGTACTTTCAGGGCTTCTCAGGTTTCGTCTGCAAATGCTTTGTGGACTGTTGAACAGGTCAAATCAAAGTGCTGCTGGCTTCCTTGTGGGGGTGAATTTTTGGTTAAGCCACTCTTGCACACAGGATAGCTCAGATAAGCAATATCTGCCGTAAATGTGCTCTCACTTATAGTGTTGTTTTAATGAGTATATAATCATCACGAATAAAAATAAAGTGTGTGTGCTAATGTCTTTGGCATAAATTATGTCTTTATGCTAATAACTGCTAGGGGATTTTTAAGGACATTTCTTCTGATTATAAGGCATCTGTAGGTTGAAAATTGAGGGATTAGAAAAAAGCTGCTATAAATAGAACTGTTTATATGATGGAAAGACCAAAATAGAAAAGCTGTAAGGTGAATGTCTAATAAAAGGTTAGTTTTCTTTTGCTCATGATGTGTGCTCACTACTTTAGCTCTTTAAATGAATGATAATGTGATTATCCTTTGACTTGGTGATTACACGTAACTATTGTCCCAACTGATAGATATCCCAGCTAAGATGCCGCAAGTATAAAAAGACTGAACACTCTACGCCAGAGGTACACAACCTTTTCGGGACTGCGAACCCCCAAAGCTTCTGAGTGCCCTCCGGCGACCCCCGCCTTAACTATTTTTGGAGCTCTCCGAGGCTCTGTAGCCGCCAGACATTTCCCCACAACCTCCAGTCTGTGCACCTCTGCTCTACACAAGTGAAAACCACTATGTTGTTAGCAGGTGTCTTGCGAAACGCAAGAAAGACTTGGCAAACTTTTAAATATCAATTTTAAGACCAGCAGGATCAAGGTGTCAACTGGCAGGCTTTAGAAGTCTTGAGAAACAGCCAACTGGGGTGTTTTGAACACAATACACTTTGTTTGCTTCCTTTTCTAGCAAAGAAAGAAAGCCCATGAAATATAGGGTGGTTCAAGCCACCAGGCTCGATCTGAAATGGACCGTAAAAATCAATGCCTGCACGTAACAATCTAAACTTTTCGTCAGCGGTGTATTTCACAGGTCGGTTTTTTCTTGTAAAATTATAAAGCGTAGTTCTCGTTCTGTAAAAAATAAGGCCAAGAAACTTGCCAGGGTCTACGGCGGGCAGCGACGTAAACGAGAGGGGTTCATTAGCGGGATGTGTTTGGCATTCGTATCGATAGATGGCGTCGGGAGCAGCCTCCGAAGTTGCAGCCGACCAGTGAAAGAAAGCAGACGACACGCAGACGAAATCCGTTGACAGCAAAAGCGCCACCGTTATACAGACACGTTTTTTTTACTCTAAGTTTTGCTTTTATTGTCCGCATTTATTTTTTAACCGAAGGTACATTTCAAAAAGATTATGCCCATTTTAACAAACCACGGTGGTCACGAGCCGTTGCGATAAGGAGGGAGCGCCATCTATCAATACAAATGCCAAACACATCATGAGTTTTCTTTTGTTTTAGTTTTAGTAATTTTCACCTTCATAAACCATGTACACAGCATTCATATTTTATTTGGTTTCATCAATATTCGATTCATGTTTGATTTGGTTACATCACTATTTGCACACCCCTAATCTTGTTACTTCATAAAACTTGTAGGTATGCTCTTTACTGACGGTCTCAAATTGAATTTTCTAGATGTTCTCGGTCGCCCATTTTATGAAGACTGATGACGTGGCCGTGGTTCCAACACGCTGGATTAAGAACGGGACAGCTCCCTGGCCACCGTTTAAAAATACTGCAAAAGTGAACAGTGCAGTGAGGGACAGAACGGAGCCAGGCAAAGACTGGCCAAAATTTGCCTGCAGGGTCATGTCATATACAGGTAAGCTCCGCCCTGAACGCCATTAGTTTTTTTTTTTCATTCTGAAGAGAGCACTGCTCTATTGAAAGTTATTACAATCCACACTTTCGCAGAATCTACAAAAGAGAAGGGGGTTTGGTTGTGAAATAATTCTTAAAGTACATATCATATCTGACTCCCTTTTTTTAGTTACTATGGTAACGGTACTATAGACCTCCCACTGCCTATGTTAATAGGACACATTGGTAACAGCTTGATAGCTACAAAAAGGCAGCATATGCTTCATTAGCAGAAGCTACGTACAGCTTAGACAAAACTCAGCAAAATATAATGCCTCACATTCAACGCACATTTTTTATTAATTCATTATCTACATAACATCTGACTTGCAGACAGTTACGAAGTTGCCCGCAAGAGGTCCATAAAGGCGGAGGAAGAGTCCGACCTTACATCGGAAGCAGAGACATCGCAAAAAAGAATACGGCGACCTCCGACATTTTTCGATGACTACCTCACTGACAGCAGCGATGAGGAGGGAGTAACTGAAGAACCACCTCCAGAAGGTGACATTGAATTTCTCGCTGAGCCCCCACCGCCACCACCTCTTCAAAGAAAAAGTGGAGCACATTGTGGAGGAGCAGGCCAAACTGATGGTGGCAAGTCCTTTTTTCTTACACGTGTTTTGAAGGAAATGGTTTACATGAACAAATACTAGTGATAAAGTGAAATGCACAAGGTAATCAAAACAAAACTACAGATCATGTATTTCACACTTCGAATGTTTGTAATCTAGAGTTGAGAAAAGGCCTTCCTAGACCCACGTGCAGGCTGTTATGTACACAGTGCGCCACTTTTAGCATGAACATGACATCGGCGCTTTTTTGTGCTTTGCTCAAGCTGTGAAACCCTTATGGGCCCTTTTCACCGCATTAGTAATTTTGGTGATATCACCTGATTTGTGTAAGTAAAGCGAGTAAACCCGACGATGTTGTGTTTGTGCTAACAGCGTCGCATAGTGTACAGTATGGGCATGGTATAGATCAGGGGTGGGCAAACCGCGGCTCGCGAGCCGCATGCGGCTCTTTGCTGGTCCAAGTGCGGCTCGCGGATCCCTCGTAAGAGGACTCCCCCCCCCCCTTCGCCCCTTTCCGCGTTTCCCCAAGAAAAAAAAGAAGAAAGGATTCCAGAATAAAGCACACTGCAGCTTGCAGTTTGACAGCCTTGTACTCCCATCCAAGGAAATACGCAACTGTGACATAGCAGTTCAACTGCTCATCCTTGTTATTACTTATGCATTGCTTGTGGTTTTTCAGATGACTTGGTGTTGCCCAAAGGAAGACCAAAAAGTGCATCTTCTTTGAACTGCTCTGCTGAACCTTCAAGCAAAGGCAAGTATATTTTGTGACTGACAGAAGAGTTAGGATGTATGTGCACTTTTGACACATGAACCTGTAAAAAGTAACTTCACTTAGTTACAAGTTTCTGGAAAATGTACCTAAAATACAGCAGGGGTGGAATAGCTGTACCATTTGCGCCAGACGCATATGTCTGCGCCATCCTGAAACATGTTGTGGAAACTGCGCCACAGCCAATACCTCGTGCCATTATGCACCAAAAGAATTGTATTTTGTCTTGGTTCCGGTTTTTATCGACCCGATTCGCAACAATGAGCGCATTTAGCTTGGTCGGCCTTGCACTCCTTTGCTCTGTTTATTCTCCCTGTGTATCTCGAGTCAGAAGCGCACGAAAAAAATTGGGGGTCAGACTCCAAGCGCTACACCACCTGCTTCTGGATTGTTATCCTTCAACCATAAGCGGTTAAAGGGCAACTCCGCTCAATTCCGAAGATTTCGGGATAATGAGTGATTTCGAATTAAAAAGCCCTAGTAAAACACACTACGTTGTTTGCTTTGCGAAAAGTGGGCTATATATTTTTAAATCTAATTTTAAACACGAGCTGAAATCGAAACCGAAACTTCGGCTCTGCCCGGCAACATTGGCCTCGGGCCGCCAAGTACATGGCCATCACGTGGTACGAGATGTCACGTGATCCTCGGCCCAACGACGGGCGGGATTGGGGCGGGCGTGTGGCAGGCGCGAGTGTCGTCTGCACCGCACTCTTCGCCACGTTTTGGTGTCTACGGCATTCGACGACGTCTGCACAACTGCGGCATAAGTCTGCGCACATGGTGTCCGTGGTGTGGATGAAACTCCGAGAGACAATAATCACAATCGGTGAGACGACGACGGCGGTTGTGACGCAAAAGACGGCGGTAACGGCGGGCGGCCGGACGGCTCCCAAGAAACGCGCTGCGCGGGCGCGTTACACCAATCATGTGGACACCGCTGAGCGCCGAGAGGCAACGTTGCTGACGTCATGCGCTACGCTCGCGCGGAGAAGTGAAAACAAGCAAAAGGGGGCCATGATAATGACGTTTAGCTCAATGTTGGCTCCGCCCATGCCATAGCCTTGACTGCGCTGTTGGTTGCGCCTGATCGCCCGCTCAAGTCAGCCGATTTCGACAACTTGGCGAGTTGCGAAGTTTGCCGGACCGTTTAAGAAACATTTAGACAGAACTGCGTCGTAACATTTCACTCGTGGTCTTCCTAGGCGATACTGAAGAGGACTGCATTGTTTTTTCAAAACCAAAAATGAAGCGGAGTTGCCCTTTAAGCACGTCAGCAGAAGTGAGGTCGAGTCGTTAAGAGTCAGATTGCCTGAGGCTCTGCGGCCCGGGATCCAGACTTCAGCCAGTTGAAGACAGGAGCAAAAGATTCCTGTTAGTACTTCATCGTTAAAAGTTGGAACCGCATTCCCACAAGATAAATCGTGATTTGATAGAACTGAAATGCGGTCCAATCCGAAACCTTGCCGGCCAGCAGCTCTCATGCAAGCGGTAGATCTGCTTGGCATACTTTAACCTTGCTCCTGCTTATCGCCTCGAATATGATAACTACGCTTAATCATAGTCTGCTGCTTCGTTATTGAGTTACACAATAGGATAAATTCGAAATTTATTGCCCTGTTCCTTCGCGCAACTGCACGTTCGTTGCTTGCGCACGTCACGTGATTCGCGCATGTAATTACTAAGACATAAACTGAAGTGCAGTGAAAACTTATCTGAGCTGCTCCTAGCCTGCTCCAGAATGTAGGTTCAGCTGCTCCCGTGGCTCCTCCCAAGTACATTTCATGAGTTCCAACCCTGTACAGATACAGATACCGAAAAATGAAAGTACCTAGGTTTTTATGTCAGGTACAACAAAGGTACCTAGATACCGATTTCGAGTTACTTGTACCTAGGTGCTTTACAACCCTGGCTGAGGCATGTCCTGTTTAAAAAAAAAAAAACTTTAGCCTTGTTGCTTTGCAGCATTGATGCATGCTGCACGTTGTAAGAATGGATAATTTGTTTGTGTAATTAAGCTAAGTGCTTCGGTAACGTGAGCAACAAGAGAAAAGTTTCTGTATCTTTAATGCTCTTACAGCTTTAAGCGATTAAAGTATTAACTCCTTGTCACCTTGAAAATGAATAAAGGCTTGTTTTTTTATCATCTTTATCGGAACACTCAATATTGATAAGGTTCTAACGTATTGCTCTTTTTTTTTTTTTTTTTAGCTTTGGTCACAGTTCTTAGGGAACTTGAGTGTATTAAGGCACAGTTGACAAGCATGGCTACAATGTTGGCCAGAATACAGATGCATGTGAATGCTGATGACCCTACTGCCATGGCTGGTCCAGTCCATCCAGAAGACCTTCCAGTCTATCCAGTGAAGACAAGAGAGGAATTTGCCTTCCTGGAGGCTAGCTTAAAAAATGAAGCCATTTTTGCAAAGCTAGTAAGTTTCAAGTTGTTGTGCGTTACAGCCAAAGGTTATTATCCAGAACATACATGTACTGAAATAGTCATTGTTTTTCATCTTTCTTCTGTTCTTTGAGCAAGAGAAGCTTTTATGTGTGGCTTATTGTGGATAACTTTTGATTTCTAGGTGAAAGAGCTTGGCCAAATTGGAGGTAGAGATGTAGCCTCTACAACAAAAACGGTGTTTAAGAAACTTGTCGGAGATGAAGTTGCCGTCTTCTACAACAGAACCGGGCGAAACGGAAAGCAAGAAGCCGGGAAACTGAAGATCTTTAGCCTGATCTATGGTAAGAGTAATGTTTTTGTATCACTGTCTACACTATGGAGAGTAATGTGCTTGCATGCACCCGTCTTTTTTTTTTTTTATTATTAAGTATTACTTTACAGTGATCGTTATAAAACTTCTGATAGCTGTGCATATTTTTTTCAGCTGCTGTACGTGTAACCCGCAAAACTGCAACAGACGACGAGATGGGCCGCGCCATTGGTGATTGGCTGCGCTTCGCCAACGTCCGGCTCCGTGCTCAAGGCAAGCAACAACCTAATCTTTGCAGGAAGGATACAAATACATTGAAGCTGATGATTAATCTAAAAATCTCCTGAGGCTTACAAAATGAAGAATGTAAACCATGCATGAGATCTGTAACACAGCGAAGAGTTCTATTGTACTATCGCTATACATTGAAATACAAAGAAGAGAGCTTGTGGCTTTCTACAAATGCTGCACAAACTGGCCACGAGCCAGCGAAGCTTGCACATGTGTAGTTCGACCAAGGACACTAGATTAATCTCCAACTCTTGAATGCCTTGACTGGTGCCTGGTGTGTAAGCAGTGTACTGAAAGTTATGCGCTTTGTGTTCATATTGCAATGTATTGCAATAGTACATGCTCACTTGTATCATTGCCCCTCCCAATCAAATGCACCAGCAGAAGCAGTGAGCACAACTACAAAATAACGAAGGAAGCTTTGTTTACAATAATTTCTTATTGGAAAAAAGTAAAAATTGGTTTTCTAACATACAGAATGTAGCAGCCGAATAAGAAAGTTCTGCACTCAGCTTGATTTTCTTTGTCTTGCTTTCCTAGAAAATAGGGCAGTAAAAGTATTTCTGACAGCCGTTTGTGGGACTGATTGTGTGTTGCTATTGGGTGAGGCCAGCTGAACATACAAGATGACAACACAGAGAAAATTAGACAAACACGATGCTGGACTAAACTGTTTAATGGAGTGCATTTTTATTCATTTACACAGGAGCAGGTTGGCCCCAGACGGGGCCAACTGGTTCTTTTGTAAATAAAGTATGTGGATGAAGTTAGTCCGGCATTGTGTTTGTCTCATTTTCTCTCTTCCTGTTTTTGTGCTGTAGGTTCATTTGGCCCCATCGACAAGCGCTGCACCAACAAGCTCAGCTCCGGGTCGTCACAAGGTGTATTTTGTCGCGTGTTTCAATGTTGGTTTGCTTGAGCAGGAGGACTGACAACTACTAGGTACAAGTGACTCAACAACAAATTAAAGGATTTGATAGCATGTTGGTGGGAGTTAAGAAACAAACAAAAGAGAGACACTTATGACAAGAGATGCCACGGGTGTACAGTTCAACTAGCAACATCAATAAACTACCACAAGGCATTATTTTATTTTTGCTAGTTGAGAGATGTACCTGTGTTGTCTCTTGTCATAAGTGTTTGCTACTTTGTTTGTTTTTTGCAATCAATTCACTGTTTTAAGCACTTGAACAAGATTGTCATTTTCTTTTAGTTCGTAGTTATGTGGGAAATCAGGTCAGCCTTTTTGCGGCTCTATATGAACTCTCTTTCCCACTAGGATATTTCTAGTACACCCTAATTTCTTGAGGGGTTTCCAAACCTGCAAACCATTGTCACAAAGCTAAATTTCGAATTAAGCTACACTGTTATGTTTTCCACGTATTATGATCATTTGCCACCTCAAATTTAGTTTCCGGCACTCTGTATTAATTATTTTCTTGTTTTGTTTGCAGCCAGAAAAGTCGAAAACATCCCATCGACAGAAACTGTGGTTTGACTTGGGAAGATGAAAATCAGTTTGTTTCAATTTTTTTTTTTTCTGTCTAGTCCTGTTCTAGACTTTCTTCAGCCTATTTCATATTCTATTGTCATATTTTACTTTTTAAAGTGGCAATAAGGCTATTTAATGTCTCGACTTCTGTTCTAGTCTAGTGACAGGCTTTACTGTGGTTTGACTTGGGAAGATGAAAGTCTGTTTGTTTTAATTTTTTTTTTCTGTCTAGTCCTGTTCTAGAGTTTCTTCAGCCTATTTCATATTCTATTGTCATATTTTACTTTTTAAAGCGGCAATAGGCCTATTTAATGTCTCGACTTCTGTTCTAGTCTAGTGACAGGCTTTAGTCAGTCCTTTCCGGCTTTTCTTTAATACGATACCGTTTTAGTAATCAAGTTTTTCTAACTGCTTCTACACATGGCAATTGTATATAGTGCCAGCTGGACATAAAAGGATTAGAGAGAGATAAGAAAGACACACCGTTGGACTAGCAACTGTTTAATCAGATCATCTTTTTCTTCATCTACGTTGAGTTTCTCTTCTTTTTTATCTACACTGCATTTGATTTAATTGAGGAGTTCCTTTTCTTCTAGTCTTATACTCGAGCGTCTCCTCGTCTTCCATTTGTCCACCATGGGTGCGGCCCCTCTAAGATACTCACCTTCCTTGTGGTGTAGTGCGATGGAAGGTATACCCACACACTTGTCCGCTTTTGCGTCAATAGCAAAGGCCTCCAGGATTTCTCGAGTGAACTTGTGGCGGTTTCTTGCCAGGATGTTTAGGCTAGAAAAGTCTGGTACACACAGGCACATATGACAATGGGCAGGTAGGTGCTCTGCACGCTGTGGTGGCCTTCACCGAAGCTGCATGTTCTCTCGTCTAGTCACTGATGCACCTTCCCTTCTGTCCAATGTAACATTGACTACATGACATGGGATTTGGTGCACAACCTCCTTCTCACATTTGGTGTACTTGGCAGTTCATTTTCTCCTTGTTGGCCCTCTTGTTTACATGATGAAAAATTGCACACAAAGAGACAAGGGAAAAACACAGAAGTCAGAGAGGCGCATACTCGCAACTCTGGTATATTAAGTGAAGAAAGAAAAGATGAAGCACGATTCATGACGGGGGACATCAACACCAGGGGGTAAACAGTTCAGTCATAGTGAGGTGTTCGCAAAAAGGCAACTTCTTTTTCGCTCAAAGCAACCGACGGCTGACTAACGCAGAGATCGGTCAGACTCAAGATGGTGAACGCATCGAGCACCTCGCGCGTTTGTTTATCATTAAAGTGCCCAATGATTGAGATTTTTTTCTAAAGATGGTGTGCAGATAGAGGTCTTACAATGCACCAAAAGGTTGACCTCATACAGTTTATGATCGTGCTCTCGCAGCCAGTCATTCAAACACTTTCTAGTCTGTCCGACATAGCATCTTCCACAGGGAAGAGGAATGCTGTACACTACGCTCAATGAACGAGGAGTGAAAGGCTGCACATGTTTTTTGTGGCGCGTGTCTTTTTCGCTTTGGCGCAAACCTTAGAACAAATTTGTCACATCTTTTTAGAGGCTGATAATACTACGGGCACACCATACCTACTTACCACTTGTTTTAGATTATGCGATATCTTGTGTAGATACAATCTAAAACAAGTGGCAAGTAGGTGTGCTGTGCCCACAGTAATATCAGCCCCTAAAAAAATATGACAAATTTGTTTAAGGTCTGCGCCAAAGAGAACAAATTATAAAAAACACGTGCCACAAAAAACATGTGCAGCCTTTTTTTTCCTGTTCATCGAGCGTTGTATACAGCATTCCTCTTTCCTGTGGAAGATGCTATGTCGGACAGACTAGACAGTGTTCGAATGACTGGCTGCGAGAGCACAATCATAAACTGTATGAGGTCAACCTTTTGGTGCATTGTAAGACCTCTATCTGCACACCATCTTTAGAAAAAACCTCAATCATTGGGCGCTTTAATGAAAAACAAACGCGCGAGGTGCTCAGGGCGTTCACCATCTTGAGTCTGGCCGATCGCTGCGTTAGTCAGCCGTCGGTTGCATGAGCGAAAGAGAACTTGCCTTTTTGCGAATATTCCTCTGCGACTGAACTCTTAACCCCCTGGTGTCGATGTCCCCTGTCATGAATCGTGCTGTCTGTCTTCTGTGTTCCTTCCTCGTCTCTTTGTGTGCAACTTTCCATCATGTAAACAAAGGGACCAACAAGGAGAAGACAAACTGCAAGGTATCTCACGAGACCAAGCACACCGAATGTGAGAAGGAGGTTGTGTACCAAATCCCACTGTCATGTGGTCAATGTTACATTGGACAGACGGGAAGGTGCATCGGTGACCAGACTAGGGAACATGCAGCTTCGGTGAAGGCCACCACTGCAGCAGGGGACCTACCCGCCCATTGTCACATGTGCCGGTGTGTACCAGAGTTTTCTAGCCTAACCATCCTAGCAAGAAACCGCCACAAGTTCACTCGAGAAATCCTGGAGGCCCTTGCTATTGACGCAAAGGCAGACGAGTGTGTGTGTGTGCCTTCCATCGCACTACACAACAAGGAAGTTGAGTACCTTAGAGGGCCGCACTTATGGCGGACAGATGGAAGATGAGAAGATGCTTGGGTATAAGATTAGAAGAAGAACTCCTCAATTAAATCAAATGCAATGTAGATAAGAAAAAAAGAGGAAGTGAAACTCAATGTAGATGAAGAGAAAGATGATCTGATGAAACAGTTCCTAGTCCAGCGGTGTATGCCTTTCTTATCTCTCTCTCTAACCCTTCTTTTATGTTCAGCTGGCACTATATAGAGCAATGAGCCAACTAGCTCAGCTTCAAGCTTCACCCGCTCTAGTCACCACTTCTACTCAGTTTCAAGCTTGTTTCTGTAGTACATACAGATTTGTCTTAAGTTATTGGCTTGTCATTTTAACAGCTGAGTCTAGCAGCATCCTTACTCGTATGTATATGCTTTTGGTTTAATTTGAAACAATAAATGTTTTAGTACATGTACCTGACTGATTTCATCTTTGCAAGGGTAGTAAATTGCAATTATTTCGTCTCAATATGTGCTGTGATGAAAAGGAGCTTGTTAATTCTAGCGTTTTTGTTAATAGTGTGCAATATTGTGCCTTTCACAAACATTCTTTTCCTCAGTTAACGGACATGCTACGATCAAGCTTCTTCAAAAGGTGCATACAGTCAATTCTCTCCCGTTATGTGTATTGCGCACTGGAGTCCGGTGGTTCATCTTCTGGAAAACATTGCTATGTATGTGAAAAAGGACCTCCTCGAAGACCCAGGACGCAATATTTTGTTGCAAGTCTTAGCTTTTTCAGCCCTCAGAAAAGCCATGTCTGTAGTGAAACACTGCCTGTCGTTGGGTTTCAAGGAGGTTCCTTTCCAACACCCTTCTTTCAGCTTTGACTACCTGCAGTTTTGTTGGTATGCAAGTTTATAAAACATTAGATTCACATCAAAGAAAATGGTACTGCTACACTAGCAGAATATCCACAAAATGTTAGAAAGAACTTTTCAGTTGAAGACAAAAGTATTGTAATCAGACGCAGTTGCTACCCATGCAGTTCGCCTTGTTCACAGCAGAGGCGTAACTGCATGGGTAGCGGTTGCGTCTGATTTATAATATTTTTGTCTTCGTCAACTGAAAAGATCTTTCTAACATTTTGTGGATATTCTGCTAGTGTAGCAGTACCATTTTCTTTGATGTGAATTTAATGTTTTACAAACGTTGCATACCGGTTGTAAAAGTGTTTCTCGAATGTTCCTTCAATGTTAATTTAACGTTTTGCAAACATTAAATTTATGTTGAAGGAATGTTTCCTGTGTGTTCAAATAACGTATGGAAAAACATTAATCTAACGAACAGATAAACATTGTGGAAATATTAAATAAAATGACATTAAGGACATATTTCAAACATTTGGGCCAAACAAAAAAATAACATTATTATAATGTTTTGGTGCTACCTGGGTACTTGCTAAACCCACATGACCATGCATAATAAACTGCTTCATTACCATAGTTCTAAGTTATCGGAGTATCAACGTTTCTTTTCAGTTTTGTACTACCCCTGATATTTGCTAAACTTACATGACCATGCATAATAAACTGCTTCATTACCATAATTCTAAGTTATCGGAGTATCAACGTTTCTTTTCAGTTTTGTACTACCTGATACTTGCTAAACCCACATGACCATGCATAATAAACTGCTTTATTACCATAGTTCTAAGTTATCGGAGTATCAACGTTTCTTTTCAGTTTTGTACTACCCCTGATATTTGCTAAACCCACATAACCATACATAATAAACTGCTTCATTACCATAGTTCTAAGTTATCGGAGTATCAACGTTTCTTTTCAGTTTTGTACTACCCCTGACATTGTTTATTTTTTGTCTTAGGTCTAAGCCCTTGTCACTGTATCAGCACTTCTGATACAATTAATTTGCCACAAGTATAAGCCATTCCCTTGGTACTAAGTTGTCGTTACCAGCAAATCTTCATTTCTAAAAAAAAATTTGGTTAATCATCCTTGTCAGATCAAGGACGAGGGTGATCGTGGACTTGACGGAACATGTCTGGGAGCCTTGCTCTTTCGCGTCATTTGTGACAGCTAAAGTCTCCTTTTTAAATGTCCGATTCAGGAGTGGCAGTCGGTCCGACTCCGATGAGGCCACATTTCTCTCATACTGTAGAATTGCCCCCGATATTTCTAATTAATGTGCCAGTCTGTTACCTGTCGATATAAAATGGCAGGTACTCTGGTACATGCCATACTGCATTTCCGGATAGTACATTGAGGGCGTTCACATCACAGCCTTTGAGAGCGAGGCAAGCTCGATTGGCTATAGTCCTTAAGCATTCAAAAGTAAATGGCATTGTCTTTAAGCATTCAAAAATAAATAACATAGCCGATGGTCCTTTCACATGTATGTTTTAGTTGTGAGTGTGACTACAAAAGTTTTTTTATAATGTTATGCATATGTAATATGAGTGTACAAGTTTGTCAGAGTGTATTTTTGTTTTACACCCAAAAGTATGTCCAATGTTGAACTTTATTGGGGCAAGGGCGTCGGGCAGAAAAGACGGTTGACGACCGAAATTTCAGTGTAGGATGAATATAGAAAAAAATATATATATATAGTTCCTAAACTGTTTGCCACCACAGGACATGTACAGGGTAGTATAGCATGAGAGTTGTCATAAGAGCACTCATGAAAGTAAAGGTGTTATTTCTTATGTTTTCAGGAACTGTCCAACTGAATTCACTCGTGAAAGTGAAAGTTATTCTTTGTGTTTCCAAAGACTAGTCAGTTATTTCACTCGTGGAAGTGAAAGTGTTATTCTTTGTTCCAAGGGACTCGTCAAACAGTGAAATTTCTGAAAGTGTTCTTTGTTTCAAAGGATTCGTCAGTGACATTTTTTGGTTGCAGTGAAGGGAGCACTTTTCAGTCTAACTGAATTCTGCTCGACATAGTACAAAGTGTCGCATTAACGACCATACCTGTAAAATGTATTCCTTTATCCTTACTTCCTCTGGCCACTTCATAACTATTTTTGCTTGTAGTGATTGGTTGGTAGGATTTTGTGTGCTAGTGAATTTCCGTATGGGCTAAAAAAAAGAGTATGCTGCTTTTTTTTTTTCAGCCTGGTACCAAATTATCTAACAGTCATTTTCTTATAAGGGGGAAAAGATGTAGTGTGCCATCAACAAGCTAGATGGCGCAAGAAAGAAGTCATGGTGTGTGCCGCTGCTACTAGACGGCGCCACTTGTCCGAGAGTGGCATCCGCCCCTGCTAACGGAAGTGTTGATCCCCAACGATCTGACTGTTTGTATGCTGGTCACGACAAGAAGATAGCCTTCCCTGCAACTCCGAGCTGGTGTGACGTCTCTTTCGTCGGAGTTCCCGCCTTGGGCACCGAACCTCGGCACCTCGCGGCCCAAGCGCCAGGCAATGTAAGCCTTTTCAGCATCTTTACAAGCCTTTCGGGGCGCTGTCTTTACCGTACCTTTTCATGTCTCTTTCAACCCGTTCATAATGGCCCTCCGCGACCATTACATGAGGCTCCCTTGGAAGGCTGCCCGTGCACTACGACAGAGGAACTGCTGGTTCTAGCACAACAGTTTAACTTCACCCATGAAGCAATAAATAAGACTGCCTCTGCATTAAGGGGACTTAGCCATGACGTCCTTAAAGATGTTTAAAAAATTCTAGGCACTCGGAGAAAGGCCCTGCTGGAGCGCAATGGAACTTTAGTCCATTTTGGGCTAAAGAAAGGACTCAAGCAAGCCCTGTAAGGTGCCAGAGGAGCTTCTCCTCCAAGCCAACCTTGATGGCCTCCGTCTTTATAAGAGCTCCAACATTGGTTCATGGCCTATCCTTTGTAGTATGAAATACTGTAGTGACAGCACCTCTCTTGTTGTCAGCATGTTTTGTGATTACAGCAAATATCCTGACCTCCCAAGCTTTCTTCACCCTTTCCCAAGATAAATAGAAGAATTAACAATCAACGGCCTTGTTCACAAAGGTTTGTCCATAACTGTGCCCTTGACAGCTGTCATTTGCTATGACCCTGCCAGGAGCTTCGTGAAGAAGAGAAGGCGCAAGCGGCAGAGGTGGCACAGCGGCACATGCTACTCGTGACCGTGCTCTTGGCCGGTGGCTCTATCTTAGCTTTATTTGGTTGGAGGCACCCACGTGATCAAATGCTCACTACAATGCCTCGTTGTCAGCCGCTCGTGACCTAGCCTCTAGAATACTTTCTAAGACCACGTCTCGATCGTTGCTCGTTT